AGCTTAAATAGGAATAAAGCCATTTAATTGACATTTGATCAAAGTGATACAACTTAAGTTTATTTATCAGAATATTGTGATTAACTAAATCGAATGCTTTACTAAAATCTAGAAAAGTTATCCCTACAAGATTTCCTTGATCCATAGCTTGTAACCAATTGTCTGTTAGTTTTGTTAATGCTGTTTGACAGGAATGAAACTCTCGAAAACCAGATTGTGATTTATATATAAGATCAAAGGTAGTGGTAAAATCCCGTAGTTGATTGGCTATGTGCTTTTCAATTAATTTGGACAATGTTGGAAGAATTGATATAGGTCTGTAGTTTCCTGGATCAGCATGGTCACCATTCTTAAAAATAGGAGTAATTTTTGCTTTCTTTAAACGTGATGGAAATACACCATTAATGATGCTAGCATTTATAAGATGTGTAATGGATTTGCTTATGACATTAGCTGAAAGTTTTAGTAGACGAGGGCCAATAAAATCAACACCTGCTGATTTATTTACATCAAGTGCATTCAACATATTAAATAGTTCTGTCTCACTAATTTGGTGAATATGAGAAACGCTTAACTGAAGAAGACGAAAAGCTTAAATTATGGCTATAGTGTGGATGGCTATCTTGTTGTCGGGTCTGATATGTACACGTTCTCAGTACATTTATCCGAATAAGACAGACGACTGCAAAAATAATGAGGATGTAATGGATCAAATCAACACACTTCTTACCGAGCATAGAAGGATCAAGCGTGATGTAGATCAACAACGGCTAGATAACAAGAAAATAGAAGATTTTCTGACCAGCCTTACGTTAACTGTCAAGCTTCAGCGTGAATCTGATGATCAATTACGGCAGGAAAATAAGGAAAACAAGTCTTTGCTGAACAAGCTTATTTCACGTATGTAATGTAGTGATGGTATTTCTTTTGTTCATTGAAAGGTTTAGGGGGCTTATACTGGGTAGTACATGTATCGCCCCTGCCCATATTCTTCTCTGTGCACATAATTTTGCCCACGAGATTACACACTGTATTAACAAAAGAGTGCATTATTATAAAATCAGTTGAAACTAAGTACCGGTATATGAATAATTCAGAAAATTCCATTATTTTTTTTTTATTAAAGGTTATTTACAGTCTGGAGATCGAAATAAATGCCATTGTTGACCAGCTTGATTAGTGATATGTAAAAGTGATAAATTAGTTTTGCTTATAATTTAAATTTCATGGTCTCTTCATCTCTGAGTGGCGGGGCTACAATCATAAAAAATAAAATCATGCAATTTTCGAAAACCTTCTTCAGAGAACAAGCATTCAAACTGGTAGCATGATTGTATCCATTACCCGATTTACTTTCAAAGGTGTGGCTAAGTTGGACATAATTCCATTTAAAATTTACATTTATATGATTTAAAGTCCTCTCTATTTTACTCGTACACATTCAGCTGGAAAATTGTTTAAAAAAATATTTATATTTTCATAAAAATTAGAATTGTTTTCATACGTTCAGGGATTTGTGCTTTGGGATGGGGCTAGTCAGAAGTGTGATGAGCAAGCTCAGGGGAGGAGAATTAAGTAAAAAAAATTAATTATTACAATTAAAAATGGAACTCTTGCAAAACTATTATCGTAACTATAATAAACTATAGTACATGTATAAAAAATAATAATGCTAAGTCGACTGTTAAGGTAAAGGCTATTTTTTCTTCTTGTTATGCCTTCTTTTTAGGGTCCTACGACGATTTTTTCTTCTTGTTATGCCTTCTTTTTAGGGTCCTACAACGAATTTTTTCTTCTTGTTATGACTTTTTATCTCGTTAGTATTACTTCGCTTAGTCATATTAATGATTTTTTTATCTTTTATTCTGGCTTTCTTAAAATATATAAGGTAATATGATTTTTTGTCGTCTTTATTAATTTGTTATATCGATTTTTTTATCTTTCTTTAACAACATTTTAATTCGTTGTTAAGATATTTTATATCAATTATTTCAATCTTCTTAACTTCCTTACAATTTTTAAAGATTGTCAGTTTTTATTTTTTCATTTGATATCAAAAAGATATTTCGCATTAAAATTAAAAATTCTACAGGGTTACAGTGACTATCATAGTTCTGTGATGAAAATGTTCAAATAGTTACATTTCATTTCATAAAAAACAAGATGTGTTTGTGAAACACTGATGCCCCCGTATGGCAGCTTATGGCGAAGGTTAAAGTTTCTTCAAATGCAAGTCAAAATCCAGGCCAAAAGATAAAAAATGTTGATACCCAAAGAAAGGTCTTGTCTCGAGGAATACACCTGTGAAATTTGAAAGACCTAGATACAAATGTTCAAAAGTTATGGCGAAGGTTAAAGTTTTTTAAATAAAAAACAAACGTCAAGGTCAAGGTCAGAGTAGTTGGTATCCAAAGAAAGATCTTGTCACAAGGAATAAATATGTGAAGTATGAAAGCCCTAGCATCAACCATTCAAAAGTTATGGCCAAGGTTAAAGTTTTTCAAAAGTAGGTCAAACTCCTAGGTCAAGGTCAAAGGGTCAAAGTGGTTGATATCCAGAGGAAGGTCTTGTCACAAGGAATACACATGTGGAGTTTGAAACCCTAAGCACCAACTGTTCAAAAGTTATGGCCAAGGTTGAATTTTTTCAAAAGTAGGTCAAACTCCAAGGTCAAGGTCAAAAGGTCAAAGTTGTTGGTATCCAAAGGAAGGCCTTGTCACAAAGAATACACATGTGAAGTTTGAAACCCCAAGCACCAACTGTTCAGAAGTTATGGCCAAGGTTAAAGTCTCATAAAATGTTGCAAAAATGGGGCAAACTCCAAGGTCAAAGTCAAAAGGTCAAATATGATGGCACCCAAAGAAAGGTCTTGTCACAAGGAATACACATGTGAAATATGAAAGTCATAGCTCCAACCAATCAAAAGTTATGGGCAAGGTTAAAGTTGACAACAGACAGACAGACAAACAAACAGACAAATGGACAAACAGACAAACAGATAAACAGACAAACAGACAGACAGGACAAAAACAATATACCCCCTGGATCTTTCGATCCGGGGGCATAAAAATGTGTGTCGCCTGCAGAGAAAAAACCAACACTTAGGGATCACTTTCCAGACGTCTTTCTATTAACATTTCTGTCTGCCCGTCCATCTTTATGATCATGGTTTTCAACTTGACCTCTGATCTACTTTTGAAGATATTTCATAATGACGATGTCTAGCATGCTTTGAAAATTTGAACGGCCAGTTCAACATATGCTATTTAGCATGTACACGCTTCGCATAAAGTCAGAACTTTAAGAAAGTCAGCGTTACAATTCACTTGAATATCAATCCATATTCACTACTGAAATAAGGTCACGGTAGCTCAGTCGATATAGTGCTTGCTCCGTGATCGGAAGGTCGGGAGTTCGAATCTCGGCCGCGACTGGCCTAAGTCGATAAAAAAAAAATAGGTAGCAAGATTTCCTTGGCCAAGCGCTCGGCACTTTGAAGTGAAAGTTGCTGGTCCTTCGAATGATACCTTAAAAACCGAGGTCCCGTGTCACGGAATGCGTTGTCTTGTCACGATAAAGATCCCTCACTGCTCAATGGCCCTGAGTGCCAATCAAAGGTCAAAGGTCGAAGCCCTTCACCTGTATATGGTGACGTCCCTATATGAGTTAAAAATTCTCGAATTGGACATAGAACAAGATACAATCAATCAATCAACACTACTGAAAGTTTTCATTATTTACTTTTATATTCCATTATTGAATAAATTAGACAGCGGTTGAAAAATATATATCCCCGGAATACAAGCTATAAATTCCCTGCCTTTATTTTGTAGTGTGTAAGACATTAAATCCGGTCGAAATCGATAATAATCCATTCGCCGAAAGGCTTACTTAACGTTTTTCCCGCTTAGAAACACAGCTGGATCCGCCGCTGCAACTATTGCTCACAACGTTATTTGAGGGCGTCGTTTGTGACGTCACTATGGCCTTTGCACGCCTACTGTCCCCCCAGAAAATACGGCACTGAATTGGGCGAATTTCCAGAGCCAGGAATCGTTTGCGCTTGTTTATATAAGGACAATAAATAGACTATTATTGTGAAAATGTTATTTTCACTTGTGGTTTCAAATGGATGTGATAGAAAGAACTTGACTATGGAATGTTATATTCAATTTTACAGAAGACATTCTCGTTACTCAAACTCATATCCAGTCTGTATAGTTAGAATTTGTTTTATAATTAAATGGCTTTTTTTCATACAGAATTAAAAGAAATTAAAGATTGTAAGGACCTCTATATACTTGGACTCCGGCAGTCTGGTGTATTTAGAGTAAACCCCTTTGGTAATGAGAGCAGGATAGACGTGTCCTGTGATATAATATCCGAAGGTGGAGGGTGGACCGTAAGATCTCCTTCTCTCTCTCTCTCTCTCTCTCTCTCTCTCTGAATTTCTTTGAATTACTAGTAGTTTTTTCGTATGAAACAATATAGGAAAATTTTCGTATGAAACAACATAGGAAAACAATTATCAGAGAAATACAGTGGACTTCATATTATATCTATAGAACTTTACCGCTTTGTTTTATTTTTGTCGATAACCGCTAGGCAATCCAGAAACGGGTGAGTGGATCAGTGAGTTTTAACAAAACGTGGGTGAACTACAAGAGAGGTTTCGGGCACCCTAATGACTCATATTGGATAGGTAGATACTTATTTACATCTGTTGTAAGCTTATGCTATTCCCATTGCAATGTTCATTTGTTTCCATGTATTCATTTCTCAAGGAATGCACATTTATTTAGCTATGTTAAATTTAAATTATCATAATTCATGATATACTTATCATATACACCCCTTAAAATTTTAAGAGCTTAAACGATTTTCACTCACTAACACATATAACATATCCTGGTTAATATTTTGTGCAACAATAATCCTAAAATAAACATATTTTGCTATATGAATGCTTTACATAACCTTATAGACATATGTTGAAGGAAATGATGTAATTCACCAGCTTACCAAGGGAAGAAACTCATCCCTCTACGTCTCTATTACATTACGAAATGGCACAACTTTGAATGAACATTATCATAAGTTTTCTGTTTTTGATGAATCAGACAACTACAGACTCTTTCTTGGAGGACCAGCTACCGGAACCTTGGGTAAGTAATAGGTTAAATATGTGACTATCAATAAGCAGAGAGAGAGAGAGAGAGAGAGAGAGAGAGAGAGATTAGGCATGCTAATTGTTAAGCAGATCTTTCACATTTTTAACTGTCATGTTTTCGAGTAGCAAAGTGTTTGAAACCTCTTTGTTTTATAAGTGTATTTAAAAATTAAACATATGTATTATTTGAATACCTTTTCTCTCAATTTATAGATTGATCTACATATTAACTTTTTCTTTATATTCTTAGCAAAAAATGCACAAAAAAGTTTGACTGAGCAGTCTTCTTTGAAACAAACTTTTGATTAGTTTTCTTTTGTAGGTCTGTAAAGCAAAAGCAATTCCTTATAAACCTTTTAGCACAATAAAAAACAAACAAACAAACAAACCAAAAACAAAAAAGCCATCCGGCGAGACACGCAAGTTTGTTTCCTTCGAAGTCTAGCAGATACTTGAAAATATAGTGCAGAGCCTAAGCCCATACCCCCCCCCCCTTCTCAAATAGAGTATAAAAACATTCAGTGCGGCCCTAAAGAGATGTTACAAAGTACACGTGCAAGTAATTGTTTTTATGTGAATGATTTGCCAATTCTTTGTTTCTCTACAGTCATTCAAAGTATTCTTAATCACATTTTACATGTTGAAGGCAGGCAATTTGATTAACAAGTTTATAAATGGTTGTTTGACACTAAAGGAAAGCTTATTCTATAAAATCAGATCTTTATTATAGGGCGAGTCTTCGATACAGATACCTTGATGGTGGTTATATTTACATCATTTTTGGTGTATTTTGGGTCACTTCCAGTTGGAAGACCTGTACAATTGAAAAAAAAAAAAAAATTGAAAATCACACATAAGAAAAGCAAACAAATCGAAAAAGTTAAGAAGAAGGAGGTATATTTTGAAATTATAAACAAAATTATATTTGAAGAGAAATACTTATCAACAGATAAATAAAAAAACTTCATTTTCTATATGTATGTACATTTGTCTAGATCGACGAGTATATGTTAGGAAAGATTTCGTTCTTTATCTATCCTTACTTGCTGTTTAAATCAATAAATGCATTTTCAAATATCTGCTATATAGTTTGCTATTATCAACCCAAATCTTCTCTTTCTTCACCCTCATGAAAAATAAAGTAACGAACAGTTAGCTCAATAGTCCATTTAAGCAGTACAACGAACGTACGTTACGTATAACAAATCGGTACAGTCTCTAAATTTGATTTATGTTATTTACAAACATACCTACAATGTCTTCTTTAAAAGTTACAATATTTGGACTCTACACGTAACAACGTTACTGATTTTACGGTATGTAAATGAATTAGGTAGATTCTCTGAAACTCTGACTTGAACCTGCCTTATCCCCCACCCCCAAACTTTTTTTAACTTCATCGTATCTTTGATAGCTGGAACGCATGTAAAAAAAAATGAGGAATAGAAAAATTTTCTGGAAAAAAAAAAAAAAAAAAAAAAAAAAAAGATTTCAACAGAGAAGTAGTAAAACTTGATTCATCAGTACACGAACTTCTTTAAGAACTGTGTGTGTATAAACTTATGAATTTTTTTAAATGTAGGATTTTCTTAATAATCATTCCTCAACCATTATTCGCATTGCGTATGTTACATTAAAGTTCTTAAGAAGAGGTATCATTCTTAAAAAAAATATCCAAAATAAAAAAAAAAATGAAACGTTCTTTATAATGTCTTTGAAACATTGAATATTTCTGCAATGTTACAGCCATCCACATCACTTCCCCTTTTTCCATTCCAACAAATGGCAGTGTTATTAATTTCGTACTTTCTACTACACGTAAAGGTATAAATTACATACTATTTCGGGGTTATGGGGTGTCTGTTAAACTACTTATTTATTACTTAGTACTTACACAAGGTTTAGTTTAGTTTGAACATATTTTATTGTATAAATAATATTCAGTTGATTTGAACACAAGTTCATCATGAATTGTTACAATTATCATAACTTATACGAGGGTTGTTAGAAAAGTTCGCGGACACATTGTTTTACGGAAAGTTTATTGTGTACTGTGAAGTATGACTTATGTCTGATTAAATTCCTATCTTTTGTTTATTAGTATGTAAAAAATCAGGTCCATTTACTAAAATTTTGAAAATTTACAACAATTTTTACTATGCGGTCATAGGATTCACGGAGCATTAACTTAACGTTAAGTGACGTGACAATCAGATTTCAAATCCGTTAAGCTTTTTCATAGTTCTAAATATGTTTCATTTCTTTCGAATTTTCTTGTCTTTTTTCTACTGAAAAGTTAAATATCTATGTCAAGACATGTTACTTTTCTTCTGTAATGCCTTTTGTGCTGTTTCGGACATTAGTGAGATCTTAAAATAATAGTCTACGCAGTTAAGAGGTCAGGTATGGACACAATGCAAAATCCATAGCCGCAACGTCCATGCGATAAGTGGGGTATTGAGGTATCGATGAAGTTGATCATTAAAAATGTTAATCCTTCCATTCTTATAAAGCTACTACATTTTGAATACTTTTGTCCTTTGTACGTGTAGGCAATTTCCAGCAGCATCTAGAAGCATTTTAGTTTATTTTAGACATTTTCCAGTCTGCACACATAATTTTTTAGTAGTTCGGGGCTCCGTGACGTTCCATGACGTTCGCATTCTTGGCTTTGCTTTTACGCCTTGATTATTTATAAATGGCTATAAAACAGTCATACACCCTCCAATTTAATTCAAAATTTCGGCAAGTGACGTTTCATGAATACTGTAGCGACAGGTAAAATATCATAATGCTTTCTGCTCTACAACTGTGCAATTTTTGATTTCAATAAAAAGTCTATGTAATGTAAACGTGCAAAAAAGTAGCATGCTCCGTGAAGCATGTTTTATCAAACTAATATAGCTGTATATTTTTTAAGGATCACCGGAAAACACCAAATCTTTGTATATATATTGGAAAATAGGTAAAGTTTTTATCTGGAGAGTTTAATCGGTTTCATGGAAATAGCGCGCTCACCATAGAACTTGTCCGCGAACTTTTCTAACAGCCCTCGTACAGTACAAGGAGAGAGAGGTTATAAGACGTAGTATTTTTAGAACAAATTGCAGAGACCGAACTTTGATGACTCATTAAATGTATTTGGTGATTGTCAACTACGGTATAGTGTATCGAATGATTAAATTGTTGAAGAAAAATTCAGGATACATTGATCAACTGAGCAATTATGAAAATACAAAAGACTATATCATGATAATTTGAACTATTTAGTTTGAAATGAAAAGGGTGCATGAATAACTTGAAACAGATATTTGTTTTTCATTGCTACCCTGTGTAACTCTCCCTTCCTCATCCATAATTAACCAAAAAAAATGGTCTAGATTAATCCATCATTACACTGAAGCAAGCATTCATAGACTTAGGTTTTGTAAAAAATGAAAAGAAAAAGAATTGTCAGTAGCAGTTGAATTTTAATTCCAATTCTAGATGAAAAGAGAACATTTATATCAAAATCATATGTCAGTTTTGAATATTTTTAATATTCAAAACAACCAACATGAATTTGAATTACCATATTTATATTGGATTCCGAAACTTCATAAAAATCCTTACAAACAAAGGTACATAGCGGGTTCCAGTAAATGTTTAACCAAGCCTCTTTCTTTACTCCTCATTAAGATATTAACAGTAGTGGAGAAAAAACTTCAAGAGAACTGTGCAACAATATATTCGAGAAGTGGTGTAAATCAGATGTGGATACTTAAAAATACCAAGCAACTTTTGGAAAATTTGAAATCACAAGATTTTACCAAAATCAACAGCTTAAAAACTTACGACTTGTCACTTTAGACACAACCATTCCCCACGATAAATTAAAGTGCAGACTTTTTGATATCATTGACAGCTGCTTTTTCAATAAAATTGAATCTCGTAAATTTACTTACCTTGTCATTGGTCATTTGCAAAATTATTTTGTTAAAAAACATTCTGATTGTACACACAAGTACTCTGAAGTTGACATTAAAAAGATGCTTGAGTTTCTGATTGACAATATCTATGTGGTTTTTGGAGACCAAGTTTTCCAACAATCTATTGGAATTTCTATGGGTACCAATTGCGCCCCATTATTAGCAGACCTTTTTTTGTATTCATATGAAGCAGAATTTGTCCAAAATCTTGTACGTGAAAAGAAAAAAAAAACACTTGCTGTGGCGTTCAACTCGACAGTTAGATATATCGACGACGTATTGTCAATTAACAATGGCTATTTTCACTCTTATGTCGATACGATATGTCCTGGTGATACGATATGTCCTGGTGAACTTGAGATAAAAGATACCACAGAGTCTGACACATCTGTTTCATATTTGGATATTTTACTTGAAAAAGACGTTAATGGTAATCTAACAACCAAGCTTAATGATAAACGTGATGACTTTAACTTTTCAATCGTCAACTTCCCTTACTTATGCAGCAATATACCTTCATCACCTGCATACGGGGTATATATCTCTCAGTTGATTCGTTACGCAAGAGCATGCTCTACGTATGTACAATTTCTAAAACGAGGTAAATTATTGGCAAATAAGTTGATGAAACAAGAATATCAGCTGTCTCGGTTAAAGTCATCATTTCGTAAGTTCTATGGTCGATACAATGACCTTGTAAGCAAATACAATTTACCATTGAGTCAAATGCTGACTGACGTTTTTCATACTAATTGTTAGGCCATTATTTACACACTGAATTGTCGACGGATTTTTCCGTTATTTCCCGATCATGACAAGGAGCACACGGCGGGTGTGACCGGTCGGCAGGGGATGCTCACTCCTCCATGGCACCTGATCCCACCTCTGATGTTTGGAGGTCCGTGTTTGCTCTGCTCCTATTTTGTATTATATAATGGACTTTTGAGCTTGAATACTGTTCGTTATCTTCATATATTTCATTATAACAATAAAACGATTTTGCTATATCTGTCATTGTTCCTCCTTG